AAAGCAAAGCATGGCTCCATCACTGGCTCTCCCATTTCCGGGAGAAAAGAGTCACAGAGAGAGCAAATTCCTCTCCGTCTCTACTACGGCCTTCCACCTTATTTAAAAGGATTCTAGCCACTGAATCACTGCACTGGTAAAGTTTAAACTGCAGGAACAATGAAAAAAAGGGGGGGGGCTGATTCTACACACAAAATTCAAATTCTTGCAAACTCTGTATTTTTTATCTGCAAAAATTGGATTTTTTAAAATTTGGGTAAAATATTCTCAAGAATAAATCCTGTAAAAATCACTGTGACAAATAATGTCATGTTATTTATTCTGATTGCAGACTATACATTTCCTGTATTAGGGTTTGGGGGCAAAAGGTAAGAGATAGCCAACAACAAGGGTCCCCATTGTTGACTTTGGGGCCTTCTTGTTCTCTCACAGACCTATGACGTCCTATCCAACCAGAGGAACAGAAGGATGCCAGCAAAGTTCTTCGGTGTGCTCCAAAAAGGTCCCTAGGTCCCAAAGTCCAAAACCATGGGCCCATTCCTCACCCCCCTTGCCACACAGTTTGCCTGGCAGCTGTATCCTGTTCTCATTTCCAGAGTCTCCTCTCCCAACAGCCTCCATAAATATTCAGCAGCCTCCCCAGAAGCTCCCGCCATCTCCTCATTGTTCCCTGTCTGCAATTAACGTGCAAGAGGCAGCCCACACACACAACTCCACTGAATGAACTTTGTGCTTCTGCAGGGCTCACGGAGGGAGGCAGAAAAGCACCACAGTGGCCCAATGGGGGGGGGGGGGGGGCGTTGCATTCAGAGGAGATTGCCCCAGCACGGCGCCACATATGACAGGTTTAATTGGGGCTTAGGGTTGCCTGAATAGACACTTGTGGTCTCTGGGGGCAGGATCTCTCCTGGCAAATCATTGTCAGAGTGTATTTTGCGGGGTATCAGAAACAGGGAGGAAAAGGTTTGGAGGCTGATTGCTGGAAACCAAACGGTGAGTGGGAGGCAGCTCTGTAACTCTGACCTCACCAGATCCCCCTCAGCTCCCAGTGCATTCAGGACTCTGACCTTATTAAGGAACTTTAAATTTTACAGTAATCTTTTAGCTACGCATAAACGTGCCCGTTACTGAACTTAAGGGATGTAGCATCAGCAGGGTCAGGGCTTTTGAAGGATTTGCCAAATTGGGTGGGTCTGGCTTTCAGAAAAGCCACCTGCAAACCAAGCAGCAATCCGGGGCAGTATAAGTCTCTGGGGGCAGCAGGCCTATGGGGCGGGGGCTTCTCCCAAAAATGGGCGGGGGGGGGCTGCCCAGATTCAACTGTGGCTCTTTCCTGGGAAGGGACACCCAGCCACAGCGGGCCATGTTCTGCCTCTCTCTGCCCGCAGGTGCCTTGTCAGGCTCCTGGGACATGACAATGTTCTCTCAGCGTATTTCGGAGGCGCTTCCAAATGTGCAGAGACATCAGGAGAGGCTGCAGGAAGAGCCAAGCGTGCCCCTTCCCCTCCCCTGCAGGGGTTTGAGGGGGGAAAGAGAGAGCAGCAGATAAGCCCCCAGCCCCAAAGCAGCGCCTCCCTCCTCCAATTCAGAAGATACTCTATATGACCTAAGAGCAGGGGTATCCCTGAAGCTGCTTTCTCCATCCCCCAGATAGGAGCAGCATCTTTAAAGTGGGGGTGCAGCTTTGGCTCGACCCGGCAATTGGGGAGGCGACGGAGAAGCAAGCCGCAGAATTTCGTCCCCACGGAAAGAGTGCCCGCTTGGCTTTGGCTCATCTCATCCAGAACCGAGGGTCAGGAGAAGCCAGCTCCCGAGTCCCTTTATGATGCCAAATGACACAAAATAAAGGACAGGACAGGAAAGATGGGCTGGAAGACGTGACTGCTCTCTGCACTGCTAGATGTTGGGACCACTTCAGGGATGGAGACAGACTCTCCTTCTAGTTGGGACCAGAGCGAGCAATGGACACCCAAAGAGCTGTGATGCTGAGGCCCACCAGCCCCTGTTGGCTTAGGTTAAAACATCTGCCCTGGCTCAAACGATATCTAAAACCGGGATTATTCAAAAAGCAAGATACGAGTGAAGAGCTGCTCTCAAAGCTCTCTTTCCAATCCATCCACAGACTGTCCTTCCTCAGGGCAGCTTGGCCGCCCGGTCTGGTGCACTCTGCCCAGGCAGACCAGCCTCTGATCTTTCCCCCAGGAGGGTGAGGGAGCGGACCACAGAAGCAGGATGTTTCTGTGCCCACCTGGTGCAACAGGATAGGGCCAGATGGAGAACAGTCAGAGCCTCTTCTAGAGGACCTCTGGATTCACGTTTTGGATGTGGTTTGGACTCTGCGTACAGCTGCACTTATCTACTGCATCTTATCTTGTAAAATCAACTGAAAGCGATTCAATCCTCTTTTCCTTAGCCGCTCACCTTCACCGATCTGGAGCGAGACAGAATGGGAGCTACTCCCAGGCTCTGTCTAGACTACACTTTGATAAGTGTACACTTTGACTTGGGGTGGACCCCATCCAGCACCTCCTCAGAACCTCATGAGGTTCTCACTACTCACGGGGCCTCCGTCTGGATGATGGACGTAGCCATAGGCGATTGTTTTGTTGATAGCATGTCCAAAGTCTGCCCTTCTGATGTGCCCGACAACTTGGCCGTTCCGCCAAATGGCCTCCAATCCAAAGAGAGGGACCTTTCTGAGACAGAGAGAAGCCACTGCATTAGGAGAGTACAGTGATGTTTCTGGCCTGCACACCCTGCAGCAGTGAGGCTGTACTACATCATGAACTAATGTCATTAGTTCCTGCATTAGACTGGGAAGCCAAGCTGAGTTGAGTATTTGCAAATATCAACGTATAGAATCAAGGCGTGCCTGAGCTCGAAGGGACCTTTGGGTCATTGCTGCAGCAATCTGAACAGGGCACCATAACCCTCGGTGAGGGGTCTCCATTGCAGTTTCAGGCAAACTGGGACATTTCTCAGTGGGCCTTATTGTCAGAACATTTCTTCTAACATTCATCCTTTCTTCAGTTTCGGCCTGCTGGTCCTTTTCCTGCCTTTGGCTTCAATTCAGAACAAGGCACAGGACAATCTTTTAGATACCTATAGACCACTTCCCTATCGGTCTGCTCCTATTTTGCAAAACGGATGCCCAGCTCCTTGAACTGTTTCTCATAGGGTGTAACGATCTGCCACTTCCAACCCCCAATGTCAGTAACTCTCTTGCAACCAGTAGAGGTTCAAAGAAAAGTTCATTTATTGAGGAAAAGTGCACAGGTCCAAAGCATTGCTAAGACTGAGCCCGCGTGCACCAAAAGTTACTTTTACCACCTTTGGTTCTCATGCTCTCCCCAAGCCTTCCAGACATTCTCACATTCACCCGTTGGTATGACCTTGAGCGTTCCTGCACTCTGATAACGGCCCATCTGCTTCTAACGTCTTCCCAACCCCCCCGCCCCCACTTCTAATGGCAGAACCAAAGCAAGCGAGCTGGCAAGCAAAGTAGTTAATTGATTGCGAGGATTCTGACACAGGGCCTGATTATTAATCTGGTAGCTCTGCTTTGAGTCCACGCAAGCTTCTCCATGTCCTTTTTAAAGTCTGTTCCCAGAACATGACACAAATTCCAGATGGCATCTAACCAGTGCAGAGTGCAAGGGACCCATTGCCACCTGGGATCTGAACCAGCGCACAACTGCATTGGCCATTTCAGCTGCTGCAACCATACTTGCTCATGTTCTAGAACTACGTTAACCAAGGTAATTCTTCTGATTTTCAGAACAATGTTAAACTTACTTTGAATCCAAACATTTTAGAACCACATCCAGGGGAGGCATGATAGAATCTTACAGTATTTGAATAGTCCCTGGTCCTTCCATTACCAGGGATTGGAGAATAGGGGTTTATTCTCCATAGTGGTCAAGGGTAGGACAAGAACCAACCAGGTGGAAGCTTTACAGAGAGAGAGATGCAAACTCAAAATAAGAAAGAATGCCCTGGCCATGAGAGCTCTTTAGCTGTGGGACGGCTGCCTCCTGGAGGAGTCTAGGGCTCCATCACTGGAAGTTCTGAAGCCAAGGTTGGACCGCCCTTTGCCTAGGAGGGTCTCAGAATTCCTGCCCTGGGCAGGGGGCTGGACTGGAAGACCTCCAAGCTCCCTTCCCACCCCAGGATTCTATAAAGTGAGTGCAAATAATACTGCAGAGTCATCAGTGAATATGGTCAGAAATTAAATACCATGGCACAGCAACTGAGCAATGAACTCAGTTATGAAAGATCAGCGTTCAAACACTGTCAAACGTCAAGTTTTGAAATAAAACATAAAAGGACTCTTCCCTCCCCTGCTGCAGCCTACTCACTCATCGATGGTGAAACAGGCCAGGCGGCAGAAGAGACCGGTGGCTCTCTGGGCCTCGACCGCTTCCCGTCCAAGGAAACCAATATCCGATCTGAGCTTGCATGTGAAGGCCAGGCCGGCTTCCAGGGGACTGTCATCAGAGCGAAGATCCGCATGCCAGTGCCGATACCCTGATGGGCCAAGAAACACACCAGAGGCTCCTTTCCGAGAGGGACCGAAGAAACACCCCCTTCCCACTGCCTACCCAGGCAACTCTGAGGAAAACTGCTGGCAAAGGTCAGGATACGCTGGGTGCTTTTTGAGAGGAAGCAGATATGGGGGACCCCTTCTCAGGAGCCCTCCAGCCAAAGCCTCGCCCCTCCCCAGGCTAGGGCTCATCCCCTTCCCCACCCAACCCACTGGGCAAACAGGACTCTTGGCAGTTGACTCAACGAAAGGCAAAGAGTCACACAGCCTAGGCAGTTTGTGCTGGGGGGAGCCCCCTCCCCAGCCCCTAAGAAAGCAGGCCTGAAGGAGACTGAGCAGGTCTGCAGAAAGGATTTTAATCTGTGCCAAAAAAGGAGGGTGGTCTTTAAATGGAGTGGGGTGCTCTGACTTCTGGGACCCCATGCCAGTCAAACAGAGTATTTCGATGCTGCTGAAACCCTCGGCAGACCACTGTCAGGGGATGGGAGGGAGGGAG